GACTGCTCCCAAAAAGTGAAGCCAAAACCTCTTAATCTCCCCCTTGTGGCTGGCCGCTGTATTCGCCATGAACCCTGTCTCCTTCATGTTAGCGGTTGGGACATGGACCACACTAAAAAGTCAAAGTAGGCCTACATATTAAATAGATTTTCTCAAAGATGGTTTCTGTCATGTGAAGTTGTTCTTATCTGATGTATGTTCAACTCTTTGTTTTTCCAGTAACTTTCATTATAATTAGTAATTTGACCATCATGAAAACAGGATGAAAGATCATGATTGATGACTTGCTATTGGTCCAGCGTGTGTAGAATTCCAGATCTTTACTTTTGAATAGTGGGAGGAAGTAGAGACATGGCATCCATATTATTATACAGTCTACGGTGTGTGTGTGTGTGTGTGTGTGTGTGTGTGTGTGTGTGTGTGTGTGTGTGTGTGTGTGCGTGTGTGTGTGTGCGCGTATGTTTACATTCAGGATTGCATTAAATGTGCGACAGAAATCACATGGCCTCTAAACTGAGCCCTGGTGTGAGTACAGCATTACAGCAGTGAACACACAAGCAGGTAGTTTACAACAAAGTTAACAGCAAACACTAGTTCTATTAAAAATATCACAAAGCTGTCAGCGCTCAATTGTAGTGACAGTTTCTCTCTTGCGTTTGCTGGACACTTAGATTGACATGACCCATGGGACCAGATGTCTGGGTGCTGATAAAGACGGGCCGGGTGTAACCAAAACACTTGTCTAATCTAGAAAAGTCAATCTCTAATCACACAGACCAAGTGACTTGTACTGTTGACTTCACATGTAGTAAATTCAAATCTGTTCAATATTTACATGGTGTACATGAAAGATATTCCACAAGAGAGTAGCATGCTTTGAGCCACAATTAACCTCCAAACAACAGGTCTGCAATAAATACTATTCAAGCTTTAGGTTTTATTTATAATGTGCCAGAATTGTATTGACTGAACACGACAGTTATTTTCAAGACTGTAATTTTTGGTGATGTACAAGACTTCATTAAGTTTTCTTCATATTCTGTTCATCATCTGTCCATTTTACACTTTCATTTTAATTAGTTGCCCCGGATTTTATTAACACCTGATCAATTTAACAGTTTAAATGAATAGAAAATGCATTTATTCACTTTCTTGTCATCAAAGATTGATAACGTGCACTCATGTCTGTGTGGTAAATATGAAACTACAGCCAGCAGCCAGGTAAACGCCAGAGTAAAGACTTGATACATGGAAAGGTTGGCAGGTCAGTGTGACAAAACCTTCAATCAAAGCAAAACTGACCTGTGGACATTTTCATGAAAATTTTCAAAAGAATTTTCAAGAGAAACTGTATGTGACAACATCTTCTGGGACTTTTACTGCCCGCCCCCTAGTAAACTTTCCAAGTGAGCCCATGTGAGAATACAGCAGGATAATGTGCTGAAAATGAACACCGAGCATGTTGATGACGTTTCTATCACACAAAACTGGAAAAAACAAAAATAATATAAATATCTCAGGATGAAGATGCAGGGTGCCATACACGTAGAAGATGCAAAAGAAGATGTCAAGATGGAAAGTCAACGAGAGTAAGTAATAAGGGCCGATGCTGGTCAATGTGATGTTAACTAAAATATGTGATTTCCACAGTGGAATGTATACATTATGTCCTGCTGCTTTCATGTTATACCCAGACACTTTCCGGATCCATACAATCTCCTGCTAAGTTCTTCATATGTGAAAGGCCAATTCCAGAGAATGTCCTTACCAGATTTTTCAGACATTTTCCAGAGTCTAAGCCTGAAAAAGAATTTTTTTTTTTTTTACAAAAGCTTACCATTAGAAATTATTGTTCTTCTTTAACTGAACCAGGGCAACTGGTTCTCTTTTTACGGTTTTTGTGCTAAGCTATGGCCACTGCTGCTGTAGCTTCATATTTCTCATATACACTCTGTGTATATTCATCTTGCTGAGAGTTAGATGTTCATCTGAACATCTAACTCTCAGCAAGAAGGCAAATAAGCATATTTTCCCAATGTCAAACTTTTGTCATGAATGATACCTGTGCTTGTCCCTGCAGTATATGCAACATACCAACAAGATATTACACAATTTGATAAAAATCTGGAAAACAAGAGCTATTGCAGTGTTTTATATAAACACCGTAACATTTAAACATATAATAACTAAAGCTAAAGCCAAAATGCATTAAGTATTTCACATTTTAATTGTACTCAGACATGTGCCTCACCTGCTCTCTGTGGACTGGCCCTCATCAACACGACACACTTACAACTTCACATTTTGTGTCTCTGTGTCTTCAGAATGCACAACAGCCATCCAGTCAGACTTTCAGAGCAGAATTAAGGCAGAAACAACATTCAATACATTCAAAGACTTGATGAGTATTTATGTATTTGAAGTGGATTTTACATTTTCTTGAGCTGCCTTAGAGCATTTGAGCAGGAGGCAGATCAGATCATCTGCTGGTGAAACAATCTTTGGAGCGGTTATGTAAGCACCACTGAGAGAATGCTCTGTCATGCAGCTCCTTGTGTAAACAGACTTCAGTGTTTGACAGAGTGCAAATTATTTACACTTGAGTGTTTGTTGTGTATGATTTGCTTCGGCTGCAAAGACTGTGCACACCACAGTGACGACAGCAGCCTCCCTCCACTCCTGCCTGAGGTGAACGTAAGTTGTGTCTATAGGCTTGCTGCTGGTGGTTACTGGTGGAACATCTCCCAGAGGTAGAAATGTGTTTTTCCACATTTCTTACACTGGCTACACATGCCAGTTAGTCTCCTAATGAAATAACTTACAGTAGTACTAAGTGGTGTCAGTCTCACAGGGCCTCTGCCTGGCAACGGTCAGTGCCCTCACTTGCCTCCAACCGCACCTGCCGAGTGGTTTTTCTGTTCTCCACCCAGGAGTTGTGTATGATAGTGCCCCCTGGTGAAGGGTCTACTTGGAGCAAGGACACCACCCTCTTTTTAACCTTGGCGCGGAGGGCACGGCGCAGCTTCTGTCGGGTGAAAGCGTAGAGCAGAGGGTGGGAGACAGTGGTGCCGTAAGCGAGGGCCAGAAACCAGAGGCGCAGGCTAATCAGGGCGTCACTGGGGCCGATGCCAAGGATTAGCACGTTGGTCACAGAGAGGGGAGCCCAACAGCCCAGGAAGGTGGTGATGATGATGAGGGACATCCTGAAGACCCGCCTCTGGCGCTCTCGCCGATCCCTATGTCGCCGCACTGCCCTCCGCAAGGCAATGATGGCTGACACCGAGGCCTGAACACCCATTGTGGCTGGCATAGGAGTGGCCGCACCCATTTCAGAGATGACCAGAGGGGCGGACGAGGACAGGGCAGGCGGGGAGGTGGCTGTGGGTGTAGGGGAGGGGGAAGGAATGAGGGGAGGGTGGCTGAGCGGTTTGGTACCATCTATGTTGCTCTGCTCCCCTCCCAGCTCCCCACCATCGATTACTCTGAGCCCAGCTTTCTTTTTCTTTTGTCTCTTGTGACGCCCACTGCAGGAAGGGCCCCTGAACCGCTGGCTCTTCTTCATGTGGGAGCCAATGCGGATGTTTAAAGCTCTCAGTATCCTGGAGTAGGTGAAGAGCATGACAGCCACGGTGGTGAAGAAGATGGGTATCTGCAGGATAAGATGGTAATACATTCCCAGGCTTGTGTGATAGCCCTGTCCACCAATACACAGCAGTGTCTGGTTACGCCATGCTGGTGCCACTGTGGTGCTATGTGACGACAAAGACATGGGTGCCGCCTGCCCTTTCTCCTCTGATCCCTCTCGGCTGGGCCACTGCACTTCCAAGAATGGGATAAAAAACACAGCTACTGATGTGACCCAAACAGCAGCCAGGAGAAGCGCTGCTCTGCGTGTGGTCAGCAGCCTGTTGGCCGGCCGTACTGAAATGTCATATCGGTCTAGGCTGATGACCAGGATGTTGATGGCTGTGGCAATGCTGGCAAATGTGACGCAGGCTTCATGGAAGCAGCAGAGCAAGGCCAGGTTTGGTCCTGGAGGCAGCAGCACCACCACCAGCGTGAGGGGCAGACACAGCACACACACCGCCACGTCCAATACATGCAGATTGACAGTTACCATATTGCTCACTGAGTCCACTAAATTGGATTGAGAGCAGTAGAGAACCAGCACTGTCAGGTTGCTGCTGAAGCCCAGCACCAGCTCCACCATGAGGACGGCTGTGAGCGACACCTGGAAGCCCAGTGAGTATGGCATGTACCAGGAGGCGGGACTGCTGGACAAGCCCCCTCCTCCCTGCTCCTGTAGGACTCCCATTCCCTCCAGACCAGCCACCGTCCCAACCCAGTCAGTGGTGGCTGGGCCCGAGGTGTAACTGTCAGTCTCCATGACGACCTCTCAGTCCTCATATATTGTATCTGTCACACCACTGATGAGCTCCCATGATGCACCAGGCTGAGCTACCATGATGCAGGGATAAATAACAGCTTGATGACAGCACTGGGGAGAAGGGAACACAAAGCAGACAGATGAGAAGTGAACTGTGGAAGAGAGAATCAAAACACATTATTCTCTCAATGAACATCTTAGACATTAGTAATGCAGTGATCATAAACCATGTCTGTCTGTCTGTCTGTCTATCTATCTATCTATCTGTCTATCTATTAATCTACTATTAATCTACTATTAATCTACTAATCCATCCATCTATCTATCAATCCGCCCATCCATCTGTCTATCTATAATCCATCCATCCATCTGTCTATCATATGCATATATCAGCCCCAGCATCTGTAGACTGAACAGGTGCTGCATTATGCATCAATCCAGCCTCCAATCTGTCAGCTATCAGAATCTCTGATAACCATTTGGCTCAGCCACAGCATGGGGCCTGCAGACAAGCTGTCAGAACCACAGGCTGACACAATATCACTAAAGTGTACTGGGGCTCAGGGGATTGGAGAAATTGAATGAAGCCAAGTAATCAGACCCACAGGCAATTAACTGCTGTATCAGTGGATCATTAAAAACTACACATTCTGCAATTTGCACAAAAGTGGTCATGATCTTGGCTCTGCCAGCTGTAGCTGACCATACGATTTATTTAAAAACATCTACTTCTAAAGGAGCATATTTATTCAGTGTTTCAGCCAGACTGACTACAGTTAATTCACTTTATTATCTGTGTCACACCTGATGGTTCAATTTACTGCAATATATTGTAAAAGGACTTTAAGGAAGAGCTGTAGAATAAACCAAATCTTAACAATCGTAAGTAGTTCATCATAGTTTAACTGGATTTCACAACTAAAACAATCTCCATTCAGCTCTGACTCAGTAATAATCCCCATCCATAAGTCCTAAAAACACAAATCACATGACCATTCATATATTGGTGTGTGCCTGCTGCTGTAAACTGAAAGCAGACTGTCTACCCTGCAGCAAATGTTACGAATGAGAAACAACAATAGTAAAAAGAACAGGTATTTCTTTTCTTGGACTGTGGATGAAGTGGAACTGTGACGGACAGTAAGTGTTAACATTTTGCTCATCCATAACAACACATAACCACAGTATTTTCAAAGTAAAACAGGGCCAGCTGCGTTTCAAAATATTTCCATTTTAGGCCATTTTAAAACTAAAACATAATCATGTGGATGTAGCTGCAGAAAAGACAGAGTTAAGCAACCAATAACACTATAGTCATTTTAGACTTTAACCTAATCTTCATGTGTTTGGAAAAAAATAAAATTACCCACAGCACACTGAAATGACTTTAGTAAGAACATACAACATATTCTGCTGGTAGCTCGTTCAGGTTCACTCTACAATTTTATTCTTTTCATCTCGAAGCTAATGGTGAAGATGGTCACTTGCCACGTGTGGTTATAATTCGTCCTCTGAGCAGAGATACTTCTTCAGGACAGAACTAGATGAAGACATTGTTTTAACTAGATTTCCATTCGTGTTCCTGTTTACATGGTAGAGAGCATCTTATTATGACTCAAGTCAATATTACATCCTATTCAAACCCAACCATTGGCATGAGTCGTCAAGCAGTTGGTAATTGCTTTATGCATGTGGCAAAATGCTGTTTGAGACGTAAACATATCCACATAATATGATTAAGGTTAGAATACCATGGATCTGAATTCCATTTTTGTTTATTCTCAATTAAATTAAAGTAATCAGACAATGCTGTTTATGTGGCAGTGTCTTATTCAGACTATTGCCTTAATCTGGTAAATGCCTGAATATTGGTGTCCAATATCAATGTAAATGTGTCTTGTGATGACTGCTGAATGCTTATTCATCACTTTTATTTTGTTATGGTTAGAGCTGTTAAACATATCTTATAGTCACCAGTATACTCACAGACAATAGCTTGGTATTGCACTGACAACCACAATATTAAAGATAGTGTGTAAAACACAGTTGCTGCCCATTGATTATAGGGTGGCTACTGATTGCACCTGCAGGGAATCAATTGAATGACTAAACTCACAGCTTCCGTTGCTCTAAACTCATCAAGAGGTAGAAATCTCAGCATTGAGGGTCTAAAACATTTGATGGTAAATGAACAAGTTGAGAGCGCAGGGAAACAAACAACACAACTAATCAACTCTCAACGATCAATCCCTCTGCACAACTCCACTCCGGCAACAAGACGTTCGACTTAGTGATGGACTTTTTTCCCCCAGTTTCCATGGCAACCGCACTACAAGGGTCTAGATTAATGAAGGCACAGGTGCTATAGTATGGAAGCGTGTGATAGCTACTGAGCTCTTTGGTGACACCATGTCAGTGGTGTAGTGGAGTTAAAAACCTCAATTACAAATCAGATCATACAACTTATGTCAGGAAAAAGAGAAAGGAGGCTTAAAAAAGTGTGTGTTGAGTTGTGAGTCAAATTTTCAACATTCAAGTGCAATGATAAAAAATTTCTGATAATCCATATTACAATACAACTTGCTTGTCTATGGCCTTAACAGTGTTCCACTTCTCCCTGGCTATTGTAAACAGCAGCGCGTGGGAGGAAATGGAAATTCCCTAAGAACAACATCACTGTATTTTCAGTTATATAAGCAAATTGCACACTTCATGGAAACAAGAGTAAAGTTTCTATGACACTTCCTGAGCTAGCGAGGAAGCAGCTGGCATATACAGATTTGTGGGGTTAGTGTGGAACTGTAGGAACAGAGATATCTCATGGGGAGGTACGGAGAAATGAAATGAGGGACACTGGGGGGAAGAGTGAAAAAAAGAGACAGCATGTGTAAAACTGATGCTTCGCATGAGCTCAACCATGCAGCCACTTTGCTTGACTCCCGTGTGACGCCTGCAGCCAGTCCAATTGTGAGTAGACTGTCTGATCGCCACCAGAGGCTGGAATTGTGAGAGTGAAGTGAAGGTTTGGAAGGAAGCTGAAGAGAAAGGTAGATTGGTGCAGAAGTAGTGGGTTTTTGTTAAAAAGCGCATGTCTGTCACCTGAAAGTTGAACATCTGAAAAGCCTGCTGGAGCGCTGAGACTGATTACAGAAAATGGCTCAGGGAGGGAAGGAAGTAGAAAAAAAGGGCGAGCTTGCGGTACTGGTAAACAAGATGTCCCTGGGAGCAGAGGATGCAGTTTTTTTCCACTCTAATATCTTACATCAGCCTCACTGCTGCTGGTTTCCTGGTTGCCTGTAGTCCCAATGGACCACTTTAGTCCCAAAGGACTCCACTCATGATTGGCTGAGTGAGAAGCTGTGTGATGGCTCCACAGGTTAGAGGATTGGAACAGGAAAGGTGAACAGTTAAAATCAGAGAGGAAAAGCAGATCACGGAGACAGGCTGCTGATGAAGACTGGAGTTCTAAATAATAGGTTCCTCTGTAATATGAAGACGAAGATTCTCGTGTTGCTGATCTTTTATGCTGTAACCTACATGTTTTGGTGTGATATTCATACTGTATTTCTTTAGGAGGCGTAGTTTTCTCCTTGAAATAATACTGTTTCATTAGTTTTCTCCGTTCACTGCTGTTTAATCTCTGTGTAAATTAAAAGGCTGAGTTGGACAGAGCAAGTGAAGAAAAAACAATCAATATGACCTTGTGCTGACCCAGATGTCTGACCATGGGGAGCAATGTGTTGTTTCCGGTTAGCTGGGAAACCAAGTGCGTTTCTTATGGTTTAAGTCACCTCCGAGTGTGGACGCTCACCACGGAGTTCTCAGAGTGACTGTGTGTGTGACTTTTTCTAGTTTTGCAGAAGGCAATTATCTGACTTGGACCCTGACATTTAAGGCAGCTGCAGCTGAGGAGGTATAGCGAGTCATCCACTAATTGGAAGGTCGGCGGTTTAATCCCCGGCTTCTCCACTGTATCCTCGGGTACGATGGCCTACTGAACCCCAAACTGTCCCCGATGATGAACCATCGGCGTGTGTTTGTGTCTGTGTGTAAAACACACAGTCTAGAACAAGCTCCGTACGAATGTGTGTTGATGTGACCCGTTGTGTAAAGCTTGAAAAGGTTGTTAAGACAAGACAGGTACTATATATGAACTCTGTTTACAGTGTGACAGACTGAGGAACAGGAAACCATTACATCCAGGTGATGTCTTTACTCTCCCAGCAACACCTTCTTCCCTTTAAACCTCCCTCATTACATACCCTGACTGTGTAATGAGAGGGAATATGAGAGTGATGACACATTTTCATTGAATATCCTGTGCATGCATGTGTATACTGAAGATGTTAAGACTGGTATCTAATTTTCATGTTGGAATATATAATTCAGGGTCTGCTCAGAGCCTGAGGTTAGAGGAATATTTATTTACACATGTATGTAAATATGAAGCTACCACCAACAGCCAATTATCTTAGCTTAGCATAAAGACTGGCACCTAGCCTGGCCCAATCCAAAGGCAACAAAATCCACCTGCCAACATTGAAGCTCAGGAACTAACATATCATTTTCATTGTTTAAGACAAGTAAATCACTATATAATCGGTCCTACTAGATATTTTCTTGAGACCATAAAATTATATATGTATATATATTTCATGCACTAAACTGCAGAACATTTCCTGAACTCTTCCTGGGGGGCTGTATGTGAGAATGCTAATGTCTGAGTCAGTTGTCTCGTGATCAAGTATAAGAATACAGCAGGAAAATTCACAGCAAGCAAGTCGGCACATTGATGATGTTTTTTAACATGCAATGGATGCAAAACTGAAAAAAACAAAACAATGTTTTAGAAATATATGAGGATGGCAAAGAGGAGCTACAAACTAGAGAACACCAACCAAGATGTAAACTTGGAAAGACAATGAGACTCGAGAGTTTTTGATAATTAGGGTCGGCGCCAGAGTCGATGTGCTGTAAACCAAAGCATGACACCCCTCGTCTGAATTTTCCAAATACTTTCCTAAAGTAGTGAGCGCATCATACCCAGACTAATCTCCTGCTGCATTCTTCACATTTTAAAATAACATTTTGAAGTTTCTAAATCTCCCCAA